AATACCCTGTTGAATATGCATACAGTACTCTTAATCCCCTCTAAAAACTGCATACACTCTCCATTCACTGTTAATTCTGTGGACACTCTCAATCCCGTTAAATCTGTAGAAATTCTTAATCCCGTTAAATCTGTAGAAATTCTTAATCCCGTTAAACTGTTAAATCTGTAGACACTCTTTATCCTGTTAAATATGTAGCGACTCCTAATCCCGTTAAATCTGAAGCGACTCTTAACCCCGTTAAATCTGTAGACACTCTTAACCCCGTTAAATCTGTAGACATTCTTAATCCCGTTAAATCTGTAGCGACTCAGAATCACGTTAAATCTGAAGCGACTCTTAACCCCGTTAAATCTGTAGACACTCTTAACCCCGTTAAATCTGTAGACACTCTTAATCCCGTTAAATCTGTAGACACTCTTTAACCCCGTTAAATCTGTAGACACTCTTAATCCCGTTAAATCTGTAGTGACTTTTAACCCCGTTAAATCTGTAGACAATCTTAACCCCGTTAAATCTGTAGACAATCTTAACCCCGTTAAGTCTGTAGCGACTCAGTATGCACCTTTCATCACTTGTTAAAACGACATATACTTTGAATCCCGTTAAACCATCCCGTTAAACCTGCAGCCACCACATTAATCCTGTTGAAACTGCATACGTTTTTTGAGTTTTACGTCCTATTAACAGCTACATGGTCATTTAAGGACGTGCCAGGTTTGGAGGAAAGCTGGAGTTCCCGGAGAAAAACCACCAACCTACGGCCAGTACCTGGCGACTGCCCCATGTAGGCCTCAAACCCGCAACCCTGTGGTGGAGTGCTAGTGGTACATGTAGCAGAATGTCAGACGCCTTAATCACTTGGCCACCTGTGGTCCTTTAATGGAAATGTATTAGCGAGATCACAATAAAACAGGAAAACACAAACATGATACGGTACATTCCAATGATCCCTCATAGTGTGTGAAACACAAATGAAACGACTCAATTTATCTTTCCCTTTTTATGTACCAAAATAACTTCAAAAAGCATTCATTTGAAATTGATGATCATTACACACACACTACAGTAAGAGGGCAATCATTTGACCACAGGATGAAGATTTTTAGTTTGTGTGAGTCTGGACTTGAATGAGGGAGTTTCGAGGGAGATGGTAAATTTTAGTCAAAATCAGGGAGTCTCCCTTCTAATGAGGGAGAGTTGAGGGCTATGATATGTTTATATCTATTTATCTACAAAAAAACCATTATGGAGTATAGTTTTATATATTCAAGATTAACTTTTTCGTAATACAATTTTTCATGGTTTACCAAAGTTAGCCTGTTATATTTTTTATTCAAATATGTGATAAAAAAAATAAAATATAACAGGAAAAACTAGTAATTACAACAAAAACAAGATAAACCTGTAAACGTCTGTCATCTGAATTTCATTTGTAAATTTCCCCAAACTCACGAGAATTTATTTTTTTAGATTGAAAAAAACATATTTAGGTAATAACGCATATTTTAAAAACAAATTTGAAAGCACAATAAAAAAGAACCTAAATTTCTTTACATCAATAAAATGGGAATGTAAAAAAACGCTTCAAGAAAAATGAAATCTAATAGATCATATATTAATATTGAAATAAAACAAGTGCTGTTTTCAAGAGAAAAACACACAGTGCTTTCTCTGGATGAATTAAAAAAAATGTGTACAAAGTTTTTATTAACGTTTCCATGCAGATTCCTGAAGGCAGACAAGTCATCAAATTGGATTACCGACAGTCCAACCTTCAACAATCACTTACAAATATTGCAACTAATCAAAATAGTTTAATTATCTATTGGGAATACTGGAAAAATCGAAAGACCAAGGATTTGATAAAATATGTCACTTTTGATGTTAACAGAGAATCTTGCATGAATATAATATAAACTGTCTTCATATGCTGTGTCTAGATAAAGGGAGAAAACTATACTTCAACATTCGTTCATAATTATTATAATAATTCAAGGTTCTTATATACCACGTTATCACAACCTAGTTCGTAGGTCGTCTCAAAGCAGTTCACAAATTATTATCCGTGGTTATAGGGCCTTTGCAACCAGCCAATATCTTTCTCAACTCCCTGGGGAGCATACAGCCGGAGCTGCCATTTCGGCGCTAACAGCTAGCATTCAACAACTCTAGCACTGCCCAACCACGTACTCATTTACAGCTAAGTAGACTGGAACAAGCGGAGTAAAGTATCTTGCTCAAAGATACAACACAGTGCCGTGCCGTAAATCGAACCCGCAACCCTTTTGTCACGAGCTCGGCGTAATACCACTGGACTACCATGCCTCCTCATGTTAATCTTTTTATTTGATACTCAGAACAATGCAATGTAAAAAGCCTTGCCCCACTGCAATAAACAGTTTGTTAAATGAATCATATTGTAACCAAAGGTCAAGGATTTGAATCGATGTCTTGATGCACCATCGCTTTGTTTACTCTCAGAACACTTACAGGTACTTGCTGTTAATTAATGTCATCTTTATCATTGTTTTCTGGAAGTTTTTTCAAAGAATAGGATTCTTTTTAAAACTGAGTTATTAAACGAAAGCTTTAGTTACGTTTACAAAACAAAAACAACAAGAGGCCCAGGGGCCTTAATAGCTCACCTGGTATTTTATTTTTCAATTTAAAACCTGCTGAGTACCATTCAGGTTTATCAAAGGAGTACAAGTAACAAAGTTGCATCTTCCATTTATAAATATTCAATTCCCTTTGCCCAAAGATTCTCTAAAACAAGTTTGGTTAGGTTAAAATCCCTTCAACGGTACAGAAGGAGAAGGATCTTTAATGTTTTCCTCTATTTCCCCTAATGGGCCCCACTAATCTGCCCCAAAGAAGGGGAATCCACACACCTCAGTTTAAACAAAATTGATTCTTTTCTCCCTAAGCATGCTTCAGACTGCATTTGGTTTAAATCCCTTCACTTGTATAGTAGGAGAAAAAAAATCCTCTATTTCCCCTATTGGGCCCCGCTCCTATGCCGCCAGAAGGCCCACACCCTCCGTTTATACAAACTTGAGTCTCCTTTGTCCAAAGATGCTCTAGGACAAATTTGGTCAAAATCCTTCAATTGGTTGAGGAGAAGATTTTTAAAGATTTACCTATTTTCCCCTATTTGGCCCCGTCCCTCTGCCCCCAGGGGGACCATACCCTCCGTTTATACAAAACTGAGAACCCTTTGGCCAATGATGCTCCTGACCAAGCTTCAGACTGCATTTGGTTTAAATCCCTTCACTTGTATAGTAGGAGAGAAAAAATCCTCTACTTCCCCTATTTGGCCCCGCCCCTCTGCCCCCAAAGAGGCCACACCCTCCGTTTATACAAACTTGAGTCTCCTTTGTCCAAAGATGCTCTAGGACAAATTTGGTCAAAATTCTTCTATTGGTTGAGAAGAAGAAGATTTTTAAAGATTTACCTATTTTCCCCCTATTTGGCCCCGCCCCTCTGCCCCCAGGGGGTTATACCCTCCGTTTATACAAAACTGAGGACCCTTTGGCCAATGATGCTCCTGACCAAATTTGGTCAAAATCCTCTGAGCCATTCAGGACAAGTAGCATTTTAAAGGAAAAAGTTGCCGGACGCCGGACGCCGGACGCTGCACCATGGGATAAGCTCACATGGCCCTTCGGGCCAGGTGAGCTAAAAATCAATTCATAGCTGCAATTTTCTTGAGTGGTATGAGGATCCTTTAAGTTAGAGTTATTTCCCTTGAGAATCTTTTAATCATGATCTGCCAAGGCTTTAGTAATACACTTCTCACCGTGTTCCTTCCAATGCATGTTCAATTCATTAGCTCACTCAGTTCTCATTTATCGACAGTAGTTTCAGGATTTAGACATAATTATATACGTTCCAACTTGATTTATTTTTACAACAATTATGAAAAAAGTTATATTAACCTCATGTTGCCTTGAATGAAAGGTGGCAAGGCATCTTCAAGCGAAAATGTCTCATTTTTTAGCAACCTATAGATTTTCTAAAATAAAAAGCTTATAAAATAACCCTTATTTAAATCCCTGTTCTACTATCATTTAGATTTACTCTGCGGTTGTTTGAATCATCGCTGAACGATGTCTTTAGTATAAAAATATAAGTTACAATAAAATGCAAAATGAATGAACCAATAGAAATGACAACTGACTTTACTTCATATCGCATGGTCTTTCCTCTTCGTACATATTCACCGAGTTTCTTTCTACCTTATTCAATAATACTGCAGAAAAAGCATTAAGCAAAACTTAATCAAATCCTTCGTGTCACGCCATTATTGGTAACTACGACGTATACAATGTAAATGTAAAAACAAATTATGTTACTACACCTGTGCCAAATGAAATAAAGATATTTTCTAACCGAATTTAACCCTTTCATCCCTATATAACTTCAGTAGACTCTACCATGCATTGATCTGGATGAGTCCATTATGGTCTACAGTGGTGAAAGGGTAAACAAACCTGAAAGAAATTAACAACCAGATTCCTGGTTGTGCTAAAGTAATACACTTTATATCATTATTCAAACAAACTGTTTCAATAACTGAAGACAATCTTTCGATAACTGATGTAACTAAAAATTAATAACTACACACAGTCCTCTTAACTCATTCACCCCTGAAGACACATTTGAACTCTTCCAATTCAAAGGTTGGAATAGTTCATTATGAAATTTCAGGGGTCAATGAGTTAAATCCAGTCACCACTGGTTACAGGTTGTCTCACTATTCAGCCAGTTTTTAAGGGGACAGATTGTCCCTTTTTCTACACAAGCTTGTTCCAGTAAATCAAACCGTGTCACATGGAATGAAGGAGACTAAATTATCAAGGCCCCACTATATAATATCATTGGCTTGCACAAAACACCAAGTTGCAATAAAATCCTTAGACATAAACAGCAAATATCATAAACATTTAAAGGACCAATCCAAGGTGAGTAGATAAAAAAGAGTCATAACATTTTGATACATCAACAATGGTGATTTATGTGTTTATTATCAATATCACTGGCTGTGTTCCAAGTACAATGAAAACATGAAACATTTAGTAAACTCATTCACCCCTGAAGTGGCACATTTGAACCCGTCCAATTCAAAGGATGGAAAAGTTCATTATGAAATTTCAGGGGTGAATGAGTTGAAAAGATGACTTTATGCATCATCATTTAGATGGTGTATTGAAAATGGAAACAGTATGGAATTTGTTACAAAAGCGAGTGATTATTATTTTTGAGAAAATGTTTTTAAACATATTTGCAGGTGAACATTTGTTTATCCTGGCAAGCAAAATGAAATCTGCAAACATACTGCTTTCAGCTATACATCATTTTTTTTTTAAACAAAACAAAATAAGCATATATAGATTCATTATTATCGAATACACATTTCAAACATCATACAACTTCTGATAAAACACCTTGCATACACATCAATATAAACATGATTCTCACATAATGGAAGTGTCAAATTTTATAAGTTAACTATATAATACATGTACAATGAAATACAACTCGGCCATGCTTTCAAATCGTACTCATTTATGCTAGATAAAACAAATAGAACAAGCAAACAACTTGAGGGTAGGAAAATTAGTTTTACGTCACAGAAACATAACATGCCATGTTATATCCCTCTTGCTGAATTACATTTCTATGACAACAGAGATTTCATTTCTAAATTACAAGTGAATGTACTAAGACAAAGCATCCCTACCTTAAGGACGTTCCTCACTGCAAATATTTCAGATAAGTAATCTTATCCCTACTAGAGCTCAAATAGGATAAAAGTGAGACAATCCTTAAATATTCAAACTTATCTTATTGTAAACATTTTTTTTTTTTTTTTTACACCTTTTCTTCAGGTTGGTAAATATTGATTTTAGAAAGGTTCATGTAGCACAGCCAGTGTAAGTGTTTATGTGTGAGGTTTTGATGACTAGTACAGTGCGTACTCTGCCACAAGGTGACAGTGCTACATGAACCTTTCTATAATATTGTATATATGTATGATCTGAATCGTTGTGTGTTTGTAATATATATAAACTGGAACTGTAAGCCACATGATAATACTCCCTCCTGCATATAAGATCATAAAAGGGGGATAACTCCCCATAAACACAGTTATATAAAATAATTAACTAATTGCACTAATATTCAAGGTACTGATCATGTGTACCAATTTTCCTTAATACATCAGCTAAGAAGGTAAATAGCAGTTACTTTAATTAAAACAGAAATTACCACAAGGGACATAACTCTTATGGAATTAGTCAAAATAAAAAATAAACCGCAGACTCTTAACTACACAGATTAATGATCATGTGTACCAAATTTTATAAATATCGGTCAAAGAGATAAGAAAGATTATTATAGACAATATTTATATTAGGATATAAGTAAGGGGACATAACTCCCTAAGAAAACCATTGAAATCAGAAGTTCAGGTCATATATATTGTTTGGAGAGGGAGTTTTAGGGGAAGGGGGGGGGGGGGGGGGGATACATCTAAATTATGTGTAAGCATGTATAACGAAATCTGTATTATTGTATTCATGTATTTGTATATGTTGCTTCTTTTCCTTCATTCCCATATATTTCAATTGTAACATTCGACCATTTTGGCAGATCGTTATTTTTGCTGCCAAATATTGAAATCACGACAATCAATCATAGAATGAGTTTTCTGTATGGCCACTAAGATGTGACATCAACACATGTGTTATATGGTAATGACTATTGTACTACAGGTAAGACAGTGACATAGAACTCCTGTAATATTGGCAAGTTAACAGGTAAACACCCACTTGATAAAACATTCAAAACTTGTAACATTAACAGGTTGACAACATACATCACAATCACAGCCGTAACTGCCCAGTTTTAAGCGGAAATAAAAAGTGCCTTAAATAATGGACACACTCAGGTTCCAGTGATTTCCAAGTCTTGGGTCACCATCGATTCCGACAATGTGGCAGGTCTTGGTTTCAATCCAATCGGTGTGGTTCCAAAAATGTGTCCGTCCCATCCCCAAAATGAATCCCCTTTTTAGCTTCCTGGTCATACGTCGTCATCTACGAGACAATCACATATTGCAATCATGAATGCTTGACAAATTCGTCTGCTGGATAACCGAACTCGGTAGTGAAGCGGACGTAAAACCTATCAATCAATCAATCAATCAAGCTTGACAAATTGAAAGATTATTTTTCTTTACGTCAGTACAAGATGAGCTATCAAGTACATGCATTATAATTTTAAAGGGATTTTGGAACCAGCAAAAGAAGAATATACATTTTGGAAACCAGTGTACAGGAGTTCTTAGTCTTCTTTTTATTAAGTACTTGCATTCGTTTCGCTGTCACTCTGAGGAAAGATACTCTTTGTGGAATTCCTAAGGGCGTTCCATTTAAAAGTTTGTTAATTATTTTGAGAGTAAAGTAAATATATGCAGTATTTCAAAACAGACAAATTTCATTTTCAAGAAATTATAGGATATAAGAAATTGAAGATCTATGAATATGGATAACAAAGCCTCCACCAGGCTTTATCCTGACTGTAGATGCGATGTTTTGACAATAGTGATAAACTTTTTAATTTGATCATATGTGACTCAATGCATCGAGTTTCGTACTCTATTAGCCCCTTCACCCCTAGGTAACTTAAGTAGACTCTACCATAGCTTATTATCTGGATGAGTCTATTGTGGTCCACAGTAGTGAAAGGGCGAGATGTGAACATGTACAGTATACAATTGTTTCATGGCTATTTGGGGAACAGTCAAAACTATCATCCCGAGGTAGGGGGAAGCTCTGACTGGGAAAACAGTTTTGACTGTTTCACCCCTACAGCCGAAATTGGACAAAAGGCCAGAAACAGTCAAAAATGGCTAATTATAATTTATATAGACTATTGGGTAATAAAATGTATTGTTCAACACATAGTACTGATAGTGACAATTGTATCTTACCATGGTACCACCATCTAGTTTTCTTTGGGTTTTTACTGCAAGTTTTTACATAAAATGCATTATCTGGTGGTCGTTTCTGCAAAATAAAGATAAATATCTGTTAGGCCTTATATATTTTAATAACACCAGTGGTGTGTTATATATTGTATGTTCATTAAAAATAAGAGGCCAAAAGGGTCTGTATCGTCCACATGGATAATAAAGCAACCATGGACAATTATTCTTATGGCATATAATACTGCAACAATTTCAAAATATGGATCTGTCTCTCAGCAACAACCGTCCCTCATTAGGTCCCTTCTTTCTGCCCCCATGAATTGGGGTGGATTTTAAACATTAACCTCAATTTCCTCTATTGGACCCACCCCTCAGCCCCCAAAAAGCTTCACTCCATTTATACAATTGATTTTAAACACAAGTACTGTGTTCCCCCCCCCTCCCCTGGACACCTTCCCCTTTGCCCCCAGGGGGACCACACTCTCTGTTAAAACATATGGAGTCCCCCTTGCCAAATGATGCTCTTCATCAAATTTGATTAAAAAACTTCTATCATACTGAAACATTAAGATTTTAAAGATTAACCTAAATTTACCATAATTTGGGCCCCAACCAAATTTGATTAAATTCCCTTCAATGGTACAGAAGGAGAAGGATTTTTGAAGGTTTGCCTCAATTTTCCCTATAAGGCACCACCCTTCTTCCTACAAAATTGAATTCCCTTTGGCCAAGGATGCTCTACACAAACTTTGGTGAAACTCCCTCCAATCAAACTGATAGAAAAGGATTTTAAAGATTTACCTGGGTTTCACCTATTGAACCCCATCCCTCTGCACACAGAGAGGCCACACCCTCCCTTTACACAGAATTGACTCTCCTTTGCTCAAGTATTGCTCCAGACCAAATTTGGATAAAATCCCTCCAATGGTATATATACAGAGGAAGAAGGATTTTGAGACCTAAACCTCAAATTCCCCTATTGGGCCCCATCCCTCTGTACCCAGAGGAGTCACACACCCTGTTTATACAAAATTGAGTCCACTTTGCCCTTGGATGCTCCAGGCCAAATTTGGTAAAAATACATAAAGCTGTTCTGGACTAGTAGTGTTTTAAAGGAAAAGTTGACAGATGGACCGATGACGGACGGACACTGCGGTATATGGCATAATTAAACTCACCATGGTCCTTTGGACCACGTGAGCTAAAAACATATCAACTAAAACATAATTTTTAACATGTCTTATTCAGTTATTTTAAAAAAGTTATCTTTTTCTTTTTCACTGCCTAATACCCTAAGGATAACAAGATTTAGGGTTGTTCTTTCCACATTGTCTATTGTACAATACACATAGTATGTGGTAACTATTTGGTATTTTTTGTTCATCAAGCTTTAAAGATAACAGGCCTATCACCAAGATTTGTTCAAATCTGTCTTTCAAATTTATGAAAGTTTTTGTCCTTTTCACCCATGTAATGAAACAATTCTTATATGTACCTTCCTTGTTAGTGATAGCAGGTTTCATATACAGGTTTAACTCACTCACCCCTGAAGTTTCATAATAAACTATTCCAACCTTTGAATAGGAAGAGTTCAAATGTGTCTTCAGGGGCAAATGAGTTAAGAGGGATATTTTAGGTATTTTTGATTATGGAAAAGTTGAAACCAGACGAATGACGCACTATGCATTTCACATAACAAGTTCAAAGGTACTTTGTGCCAGGTGATCCAACAGCGATTTAGTTAACTCATTCACCCCTGAAATTTCATAATTAACTATTCCAACAATTGAATTAGAAGAGATCAAATGTGTCTTGAGTAGTTTGTAACACTGACAAGGTTTTTTAGAATTTTGTTTAACGTCCTATTAACAGCAAAGGTCATTTGAGGACGTACCTCCATGTGTGCAGTGCATGCACACTTGCATGTGAGTATGCATGAGACAGGGTATGTTGGTGTTCTTGCCTCCTTGTGATAGCGCAGATCTGATGCCGACTTTATAGTGCTATCTCACTGAAATGCCATGCCAAAGGCACCCAGCACAGCATTCCTCCCGGTCACATTATACTGACAACGGGTGAACCAGTTGTTGAAATTCCCAGTAGATGCTGAACGTAAAGCAGGGAATAACAACTACCATTTTTAAGGACTTTGGTATGTCTTGGCCTGGGGACAGAACCCATTTCCTTCCTCACCTGGGCGAACACTCAACATTAAGGCCAAAAGTGAGGTGTTGCCAAGCAAGGCGCTAGGAAAACACTGACAAGGTCAAGTTCCGACAAAGTTTGAAGGTACACAATAGCAACCTTCACATGAAACATATCAGGGAGGAACTGTCACATTTTATATGATTTTAATATATTTTACCTTCTCTTTACAGCTGGATAACATACTAACAACGCTGAGACATAAAGACTGGACTGAAAGGGCGGGGGGGGGGTCATCCGTGAGGATGGACAAGCAGATGTGACCATTACTGTACACGTGAGGGTGAACAGGCATATGTTCCCCAATAAACATCACCTATAACACAGTCATACTCATAAACATCATTTATAACAAAGTCATACTCATAAAAATCACCTATAACAAAGTAATACCCATAAACATCACTTATAACAAAGCCATAAACATCACCTATAACAAAACCATAGTCAGAAACATCACCTATAACAAAACCATAGTCAGAAACATCACCTATAACAAAGGCCTAAACAAAGCAGGGAATAACAACTACCACTTTTAAGGACTTTGGTATGTCCCGGCCTGGGGACAGAACCCATTTCCTTCCCCACCTGGGCGAACACTCAACATTAAGGCCAAAAGTGAGGTGTTGCCAAGCAAGGCGCTAGGAAAACACTGACAAGGTCAAGTTCCGACAAAGTTTGAAGGTACACAATAGCAACCTTCACATGAAACATATCAGGGAGGAACTGTCACATTTTATATGATTTTAATATGTTTTACCTTCTCTTTACAGCTGGATAACATACTAACAACGCTGAGACATACAGACTGGACTGAAAGGGCGGGGGATCAATCATCCGTGAGGATGGACAAGCAGATGTGACCATTACTGTACACGTGAGGGTGAACAGGGATATGTTCTCCGATAAACATCACCTATAACAAAGCCATAGTCATAAACCTCACCTATAACAAAGTCATAGTATTAAACATCACCTATAACAAAGTCATAGTATTAAACATCACCTATAACAAAACCATAGTCAGAAACATCACCTATAACAAAACCATAGTCAGAAACATCACCTATAACAAAACCATAGTCAGAAACATCACCTATAACAAAGGCATAAACAAAGCAGGGAATAACAACTACCACTTTTAAGGACTTTGGTATGTCTTGGCCTGGGGGCAGAAGCCATTTCCTTCCTCACCTGGGCGAACACACAACATTAAGGCCAAAAGTGAGGTGTTGCCAAGCAAGGCGCTAGGAAAACACTGACAAGGTCAAGTTCCGACAAAGTTTGAAGGTACACAATAGCAACCTTCACATGAAACATATCAGGGAGGAACTGTCACATTTTATATGATTTTAATATGTTTTACCTTCTCTTTACAGCTGGATAACATACTAACAACGCTGAGACACACAGACTGGACTGGAAGGGCGGGGGACCAATCATACGTGAGGATGGACAAGCAGATGTGACCATTACTGTACACGTGAGGGTGAACAGGGATATGTTCTCCGATAAACATCACCTATAACAAAACCATAGTCAGAAACATCACCTATAACAAAGCAATAGTCATAAACGATGCTGAACGTAAAGCAGGGAATAACAACTACCACTTTTAAGGACTTTGGTATGTCCCGGCCTGGGGACAGAACCCATTTTCTTCCTCACCTGGGCGAACACACAACATTAAGGCCAAAAGTGAGGTGTTGCCAAGCAAGGCGCTAGGAAAACACTGACAAGGTCAAGTTCCGACAAAGTTTGAAGGTACACAATAGCAACCTTCACATGAAACATATCAGGGAGGAACTGTCACATTTTATATGATTTTAATATATTTTACCTTCTCTTTACAGCTGGATAACATACTAACAACGCTGAGACATAAAGACTGGACTGAAAGGGCGGGGGACCTATCATCCGTGAGGATGGACAAGCAGATGTGACCATTACTGTACACGTGAGGGTGAACAGGGATATGTTCTCCGATAAACATCACCTATAACAAAATCATACCCATAAACATCACTCATAACAAAGTCATGCTCATAAACATCACCTACAACACATCACCTATAACAAAATCATACCCATAAACATCACTCATAAAAAAGTCATACTCATAAACATCATGAACGTAAAGCAGGGAATAACAACTACCACTTTTAAGGACTTTGGTATGTCTTGGCCTGTGGACAGACCCCATTTCCTTCCTCACCTGGGCGAACACTCAACATTAAGGCCAAAAGTGAGGTGTTGCCAAGCAAGGCGCTAGGAAAACACTGACAAGGTCAAGTTCCGACAAAGTTTGAAGGTACACAATAGCAACCTTCACATGAAACATATCAGGGAGGAACTGTCACATTTTATATGATTTTAATATGTTTTACCTTCTCTTTACAGCTGGATAACATACTAACAACGCTGAGACATACAGACTGGGCTGAAAGGGCGGGGGACCAATCATACGTGAGGATGGACAAGCAGATGTGACCATTACTGTACACGTGAGGGTGAACAGGGATATGTTCTCCGATAAACATCACCTATAACACATCACCTATAACAAAATCATACCCATAAACATCACCTATAACACATCACCTATAACAAAGCAATAGTCATAAACGATGCTGAACGTAAAGCAGGGCATAACAACTTCCATTTTTAAGGACTTTGGTATGTCCCGGCCTGGGGACAGAACCCATTTCCTTCCTCTCCTGGGCGAACACTCAACATTAAGGCCAAAAGTGAGGTGTTGCCAAGCAAGGCGCTAGGAAAACACTGACAAGGTCAAGTTCCGACAAAGTTTGAAGGTACACAATAGCAACCTTCACATGAAACATATCAGGGAGGAACTGTCACATTTTATATGATTTTAATATGTTTTACCTTCTCTTTACAGCTGGATAACATACTAACAACGCTGAGACATACAGACTGGACTGAAAGGGCGGGGGGGGGGTCATCCGTGAGGATGGACAAGCAGATGTGACCATTACTGTACACGTGAGGGTGAACAGGGATATGTTCCCCAATAAACAGCACCTATAAAAAAGACATAAACATCACCTATTACAAAGTCATACTCATAAAAATCACCTATAACAAAGTCATAGTATTAAACATCACCTATAACAAAATCATACCCATAAACATCACTCATAAAAAAGTCATACTCATAAACATCATGAACGTAAAGCAGGGAATAACAACTACCACTTTTAAGGACTTTGGTATGTCCCGGCCTGGGGACAGAACCCATTTCCTTCCTCTCCTGGGCGAACACTCAACATTAAGGCCAAAAGTGAGGTGTTGCCAAGCAAGGCGCTAGGAAAACACTGACAAGGTCAAGTTCCGACAAAGTTTGAAGGTACACAATAGCAACCTTCACATGAAACATATCAGGGAGGAACTGTCACATTTTATATGATTTTAATATGTTTTACCTTCTCTTTACAGCTGGATAACATACTAACAACGCTGAGACATACAGACTGGACTGAAAGGGCGGGGGGGGGGTCATCCGTGAGGATGGACAAGCAGATGTGACCATTACTGTACACGTGAGGGTGAACAGGGATATGTTCCCCAATAAACATCACCTATAACACATCACTTATAACAAAGTCATACTCATAAACATCCCCTATAACAAAGTCATACCCATAAACATCACTAATTACAAAGACATAAACATCACCTATAACAAAGCCATAGTCATAAACATCACCCATAACAAAGACATAAACATCATCTATAACAAAGTCATACCCATAAACATCACTTATAACAAAGACATAAACATCACCTATAACAAAGCAATAGTCATAAACATCACTTATAACAAAGACATAAACATCACCTATAACAAAGGCATAAACATCACCTATAACAAAGTCATACCCATAAACATCACCTATAACACAGTCATACTCATAAACATCACCTATAACAAAGTCATACCCATAAACATCACTTATAACAAAGACATAAACATCACCTATAACAAAGACATAAACATCACCTATAACAAAGACATAGTCATAAACATCACTTATAACAAAGTCATACCCATAAACATCACCTATAACAAAGGCATAAACATCACCTATAACAAAGTCATACCCATAAACATCACTTATAACAAAGACATAAACATCACCTATAACAAAGGCATAAACATCACCTATAACAAAGACATACCCATAAACATCACCTATAACAAAGTCATACTCATAAACATCACCTATAACAAAGTCATACTCATAAACATCACCTATAACAAAGTCATACTCATAAACATCACCTATAACAAAGTCATACTCATAAACATCACCTATAACAAAGTCATACTCATAAACATCACCTATAACAAAGTCATACTCATAAACATCACCTATAACAAAGTCATACTCATAAACATCACCTATAACAAAGTCATACTCATAAACATCACCTATAACAAAGTCATACTCATAAACATCACCTATAACAAAGTCATACTCATAAACATCACCTATAACAAAGTCATACTCATAAACATCACCTATAACAAAGTCATACTCATAAACATCACCTATAACAAAGTCATACTCATAAACATCACCTATAACAAAGTCATACTCATAAACATCACCTATAACAAAGTCATACTCATAAACATCACCTATAACAAAGTCATACTCATAAACATCACCTATAACAAAGTCATACTCATAAACATCACCTATAACAAAGTCATACTCATAAACATCACCTATAACAAAGTCATACTCATAAACATCACCTATAACAAAGTCATACTCATAAACATCACCTATAACAAAGTCATACTCATAAACATCACCTATAACAAAGTCATACTCATAAACATCACCTATAACAAAGTCATACTCATAAACATCACCTATAACAAAGTCATACTCATAAACATCACCTATAACAAAGTCATACTCATAAACATCACCTATAACAAAGTCATACTCATAAACATCACCTATAACAAAGTCATACTCATAAACATCACCTATAACAAAGTCATACTCATAAACATCACCTATAACAAAGTCATACTCATAAACATCACCTATAACAAAGTCATACTCATAAACATCACCTATAACAAAGTCATACTCATAAACATCACCTATAACAAAGTCATACTCATAAACATCACCTATAACAAAGTCATACTCATAAACATCACCTATAACAAAGTCATACTCATAAACATCACCTATAACAAAGTCATACTCATAAACATCACCTATAACAAAGTCATACTCATAAACATCACCTATAACAAAGTCATACTCATAAACATCACCTATAACAAAGTCATACTCATAAACATCACCTATAACAAAGTCATACTCATAAACATCACCTATAACAAAGTCATACTCATAAACATCACCTATAACAAAGTCATACTCATAAACATCACCTATAACAAAGTCATACTCATAAACATCACCTATAACAAAGTCATACTCATAAACATCACCTATAACAAAGTCATACTCATAAACATCACCTATAACAAAGTCATACTCATAAACATCACCTATAACAAAGTCATACTCATAAACATCACCTATAACAAAGTCATACTCATAAACATCACCTATAACAAAGTCATACTCATAAACATCACCTATAACAAAGTCATACTCATAAACATCACCTATAACAAAGTCATACTCATAAACATCACCTATAACAAAGTCATACTCATAAACATCACCTATAACAAAGTCATACTCATAAACATCACCTATAACAAAGTCATACTCATAAACATCACCTATAACAAAGTCATACTCATAAACATCACCTATAACAAAGTCATACTCATAAACATCACCTATAACAAAGTCATACTCATAAACATCACTTATAACAAAGTCATACTCATAAACATCACCTATAACAAAGTCATACTCATAAACATCACTTATAACAAAGTCATACTCATAAACATCACCTATAACAAAGTCATACTCATAAACATCACCTATAACAAAGTCATACACATAAACATCACCTATAACAAAATCATACTCATAAACATCACCTATAACAAAGTCATACTCATAAACATCACCTATAACAAAGTGATACCCATAAACATCATATTTTACATAAACATCCTGTTTCTCTCACATGTAAAAATGTAATACTCTGAATAGCCATATACAAGGTAAATAGTCATATACAATAATTAAACGTTTGTTTTCTTTTTGGCTATAGTAATATTAATGTACATATTTTATGTTTGTGAAGTAGGTAATTGATTTTTTTTACCTGAGGTGATTCAAATGGATATCTTGAACCAAATTTAAACATTAATTGGAATTTTTCTCCTTCATAAATAGATTCAGGAGCTCCCTCTAAGTCGACAGTCCACCTGTAATTAAATCGAAAAAAAACGTTTACAACATTATGATCTTTGAATATGATGTTGACAGTGGGAACAATATAATGAAGTATTTTTTATGAGGCCCAATGCATTGCTCATTTGGTATTAATCTTACACTTATTAGTCTTAGAAATTAGGATTTACACACCATATATAGACAATAGGTTTGTTATTAGATAGAGATTTTTGTTATAGACCTACTGAAATTGTGATAGAGCAGACCTGGACCAGGAAAATTTGACCTATAGATATATTTAGTGTTGAATAACAAAAAACAAAGAAAATGTGTACAGCTGCCGTATAATAATAAAAGAAAACATGTAATTTCACAGTAGAATTTTTCTCTCACTTACGTATTTACCATTGAATTAGTTACATCATATAGGAAATAACTTGATAGACACCTTAGTCTATTAAGTAAATAATTCCCATTGACCAGTGCTTTTCATGGTGATTGTCTATGGGTCAGCACGTAAGTCATCCTTGATTCCAGGGGTTACGCTCACTTTCGCTCTCTACACCCCTGGCATATTAGGTCATAGCAAAATTGAAGGCACAAAGAAAGCTGTTTGATTGGTGTCAGGTTAAAAAAACTGACCAATTGCTTGGCTGATACATGTCTTTTGAAGATTACAAAGGAGAGACGCCCTATCTCAAGGCCTGTCAAATTTTACTGTTATGTGACCGCGAGATCCTTCTGATGTATATCAAAGGATCAAACTTAGTCTAGTCTTCTTGTCTCATCAACAACGTGGGGCACACTAGTGCTGAGCCTTCATTTTTGCTATGACATAGTCCAGGGGTGTAGAGAGCGAAAGTGAGCGTACCCCTGGATATTGAGAATTAATGCCCGTAGGTCCGAACAAATGACGTGTAACCTTAAGAAGCGGACCAAGGTAAAAAAACATTTAAATAGACTAAATAAAGCTACAGGCTAAATATCATTACCCAGTACTCCTGGTCATCTAAAAGAAGGACCTTGAAAGTCTAACAAAGGTCATCAGTATTCAGTTGCTCAAAATAATAACCCTAGTCTTCATCTTAGGCCAAATAAAAATATACTTGTGTTTCCCGTTTCCCCGACCAACCTTATTTTTTCATGCCAACCCTAACCCATTTTATTGGTTTTTCACAGTCACTGTTATGTATATATTAGCAGTTTAATTGTTCAAATTAAAGTGTACATATAATTTGCTGTGCATTTTTTAGCATCGACTCGTGGTCAGTAAAAGTTTCAATTGTAGATAGTAGCCGTAGACAATTGTGGTATTGATGCAGGTTGGGATCTGTATATTAGTGTGATCATCTGGAGTCGAATTTAGCAAGATTTATGGCCAGTTAATTACCTAGTCGTAAAGGGATCAAATTTTTGCAGGATTTCAGCAGCATCAACAATTTTAATGTATCAACATTTTTATTGTAGCAGAATTTTGCTAAGTTAGTAAGTTAAGGTTGTTCAGCTTGGGAGTTGAAGGAGGAGAAGAGAGTCGGGTTGGGGAGGCTAAGGAGTCTTGAAGAAGGAGGTTGAGTTAGGGAGACACATAGAGGAGACTTAGAAAGTTAAAGTTAAAGTGAGAATTAAGAAGTGAGTAATAATAGTAGTTTTAGCTGTAGTTTATAGATCTGTGCAGTTTTACAGTTTATAGTTGGAGATAATTGAGTTTGAAGTGGAGAGATTGAGTTCACAATAGTGAAGACTTTTATAGTTTATGACAGATTAAAAAACTTGTGTTGTTAATACAGTGTTAATATAAATATACTAATTTTGTTGTTAAATAATTTGAACTTGAGGCAGTGGAAACAGAGAACAAAAAGTATCAGTTATACAAAAGAGAACATAACACTGGTGACCATCAATGTGTTGTTTGTGCCTGCTTAACACATAAAATGTAAATGCATATATGTGTATTTATTTCACATGAATCAAAAATTATATATTGCGTGCCATTCATACTTTCTTAAAACAATACCATATTTTTAACATTCACAGTGGTATTCAGGAGATTTTCTTCACCAGAAAAAGATACAATAAAATGTTTTTCCTACCTACCTACCCTATTTTTTTTGGAGACGAAACAGGAAACACACATATATTTTTATTTGGCCTCAAAAGCAATATATATGCCACTGGCTATATATTATCAACCTGGGCCTTTTGGTTTGAAAAGAGGTCACTTTCAGGTGTAAACAAATTAGACTAAGACCCCATGTGACCTTGAAAGGTCAAGGTAATTCATTGGATCAAAGTTTGAAGCCCATCATGATCATTCTATCAAGTAATATTAGCCAAATATCATTACCATAGGCCTTTTAATTTGGATATTGAAAAGTGTTTGTTTTAAAAAAATGTTGATGCCAGAAAATCAGTAACACAGACCAAAGCATGACGGAGAGCGATACAGTTAACCACGTACAATTCTCAAAACAAGTAATTACAAAAAGGTCTAGAATGAAGACAAAGGAAAATTTAAAATGAGACTACATCATACATGTATTTATATATAATATTAATGGTTTTGGATCACTAATCTACAAACCTGCTACCCTCGCGGTATGAACGAACGATAGGCGGTTGCCATCCGCTTGTTTTCCTTCCAGGGGGCATTTGACCTAATGATTCATTACTGCATAGTTGGTCTGCTATATATAGCCATTTCATCTACTTATTCCTCCTGCACTCACTTATTTGATAATTACATGCATAATTCCTGCAAACCAAAAGAGGCGACTAAGTGGGACCCCCTGCTGTGACTTAGATCCATCGCAGTATTGAGAGGCGACTAATGAGACATTCCGTAGCAGATTGGAGATTTTTCACATTTACCGAGCCAGATATCCAAATGCACATGTTCCACGTTTTTGATATCTCTCGTTGACTCACTTTATATGACAGTGCATCTTGCGCAAGAATAGGTCCTCTACATCAGCGTTCCTTGTCCGCGATGCTCTCAGCTTAATTGCTGCCTTCGGCTGTCTTTAGCCGAGGGGACTATTGGTTTCATATAATAGCTATATTTTCAATTATAGTATATCAATTCTATCTTCTTGTAATATGATGTATATGTACATGTAACTGTTCTGTTTCACTGTGTCTTGAAAAAGGAGTGGATCGCTCTGAAAATTTGACAACCTAAACTTGTCCACACTGTTGGAATTACTTCTTTGCCCCATATAGAATATTAGCCATATACACATTTAACAGGGATTTTAATAGGGTGAAACAACTTGACACATCCTAAACAAATGTGGGTATAGGACGAGACAAACCCATCATCTGCCTTATGGACTCCGAAACATGTACCTCCAGGCTATACTTACTCAGATAGATTTGTACATATTCTTTGGGAATCAACCTTCACACCAGCTGGTGGGTCCTTTGTCAGAGCTAGAAGCTCTTTCTGTAGGCGCTTCTGCAAAGAAATTAAAAGCCATTTGTTCATTCATTAAGTGAATAATAAGTAAAAGTAGATAATAATCTCCAAATAAATTTCATAATATTTCCTGTTTTCCTGTGTTCTAAATATAGAAATACATTTTCACATCGATATGATATTTTTCTAATCCATCGTATTTTGTCTGGATACTAGAGTCAAAATGCTTTTAATCAAATTATTAATGTTTGGTTTGAATTACAGAGCATGCTTTCTTTTTAAACATGTCACTAACTGTTCCAGAGAAAAGCTGTTACCAACTTGATTGAACAGCTGATCATGTCTGATCATAATCAGTTAGGTTGCAAATCTGATGATTTCCGGACGTGAATTTAAATTTTACTAATATACCTCAATACCGAATGTACTAGACATTTTCTCACAAATAGATCTGATCTACATTTAGGTAGAATTTTGAAATTCATTTGACCTTTTCTTATTTCCTTTCGGTTAAAACTGTTGATAAAGGAAATAGACGGGCAATTTTCACAAGTACTCACCTCCATGGAAGCCATATTTTTCTTTCGTGTTTACAGTTAGTTTCGTATAATTGTGACAGCTCATAGAAATCCCTTTTTACAGAGAAATATATTATTTCCTTACTGAGAAATATTTTCTTCTATATTTGTTTTAATTTAGAATGTATCTTTTATGCATATTGAACGCAAATATGCAAATCTTCTCCCTTGTTTTTTTAGTAAAATACGAAACAAGGGCAAGTGACAATTCAGCCACATCACAAGCAACATGGGTCCTGCCAACATCAAGCTAAATCCTATAGGGGCGGCAATGTTTCTGGCTGTAGCGTTATGTTTAATAATATATGCATTCGGTGTTCCAAAATGGTTTAACAGAGAACCTACTGTTAGTATGAAAGAACTCTTGACAGCAAGCATCGAATTAGCCCGGCGTGGAGGAACGAAAGTCAAAGATATTCGACTGAAAAACATTTTGGAAGAAAAAGTGAAAGGGAAAACGGCAGAGGGAGCGGATGAGATGTTAACGCAGGGAGATTCAGAATCGAATAGGGCAATTGTATATGGAATGTCGAAAGCATTCTCCGGTATTGAGGTATACATATATAATATATATTATATACACTGCTAGTATAGTTGTACACCGACAACTACAGGTACATTATCATATATATGATATCGCACAGCAACGTGTGCTGCACACATAATGATATGATGTGTATAATGAATTACAAACGTTTCGCCCCAATTTTTTTTCACATCGCCCTAATGTTCAGTTCGCCCCAACTATGACAAGCATATCGCCCAAAAATTCTTTTCGCCCCAACATCTATATCGCCCCAAAACTCTGTATCGCCCCAACTGCTACGAACGTATATTGAACTATAAAAGACAGTTCATGTATGGTAATATATAACGTCACTGTACCCAAATCGGGACACTTTTCATATAAATATCAATGTTCTTAATATACTATCAGTTACAAAAATATTTGTCATTTTTCATAAACAGTTACTTAGATCCACTTTTTATTTCTATCAATTCAATTTGATATTTCGGGCGTGTGGTTCTATAAAAAGAACACAAAATACCGTCAGAGTTATGTAGGCCAATGAACCAGTGTAACAGTACCCTGAAAGAGACACATCCGGTATTTGGCAAATATTTGTGGATAAACGATCAATATCGGCAAAAAATATGCAAAGTTGAAATATTTTAGAGTACATGTGCCATCATGGGCAAAATTACAGACGTAATAGGTGATAATAATTAATGTACCAAGAATAACAAATGTGTGATACAGCATTCATGGTTGATGTAAATTTAGAAATGGCATATGAATAGATACCAAAAATATAAGAAATTTTCTTAGGTGTGATAATTTCCATCAAAAGATTTGGACATTCATAGTTTTCATTTGACATGATTTTTTTTTCCAGATTATATCGGAAGAGACAGATTTAAAGCCGGTCAATTTCAAAACAATTGAAGATGTTAGCAAAAAACTTGAAGAAGTAAATAATATTATCAAGGATGATGAAATGGTGCCAAAGAAAGACATCACAGTTTGGGTAGATCCCTTGGATGCCACCAAAGAGTATACAGGTAGTACATACATAATACATACAGACTCAGTAGTATACAGGTAGTACATGCATAATACATACAGACTCGGTAGTATACAGGTAGTACATACATAATACATACAGACTCAGTAGTATACAGGTAGTACATACATAATACATACAGACTCAGTAGTATACAGGTAGTACATACATAATACATACAGACTCAGTAGTATACAGGTAGTACATACATAATACATACAGACTCAGTAGTATACAGGTAGTACATACATAATACATACAGACTCAGTAGTATACAGGTAGTACATACATAATACATACAGACTCAGTAGTATACAGGTAGTACATACATAATACATACAGACTCAGTAGTATACAGGTAGTACATACATAATACATACAGACTCAGTAGTATACAGGTAGTACATACATAATACATACAGACTCAGTAGTATACAGGTAGTACATACATAATACATACAGACTCAGTAGTATACAGGTAGTACATACATAATACATACAGACTCAGTAGTATACAGGTAGTACATACATAATACATACAGACTCAGTAGTATACAGGTAGTACATACATAATACATACAGACTCAGTAGTATACAGGTAGTACATACATAATACATACAGACTCAGTAGTATACAGGTAGTACATACATAATACATACAGACTCAGTAGTATACAGGTAGTACATACATAATACATACAGACTCAGTAGTATACAGGTAGTACATACATAATACATACAGACTCAGTAGTATACAGGTAGTACATACATAATACATACAGACTCAGTAGTATACAGGTAGTACATACATAATACATACAGACTCAGTAGTATACAGGTAGTACATACATAATACATACAGACTCAGTAGTATACAGGTAGTACATACATAATACATACAGACTCAGTAGTATACAGGTAGTACATACATAATACATACAGACTCAGTAGTATACAGGTAGTACATACATAATACATACAGACTCAGTAGTATACAGGTAGTACATACATAATACATACAGACTCAGTAGTATACAGGTAGTACATACATAATACATACAGACTCAGTAGTATACAGGTAGTACATACATAATACATACAGACTCAGTAGTATACAGGTAGTACATACATAATACATACAGACTCAGTAGTATACAGGTAGTACATACATAATACATACAGACTCAGTAGTATACAGGTAGTACATACATAATACATACAGACTCAGTAGTATACAGGTAGTACATACATAATACATACAGACTCAGTAGTATACAGGTAGTACATACATAATACATACAGACTCAGTAGTATACAGGTAGTACATACATAATACATACAGACTCAGTAGTATACAGGTAGTACATACATAATACATACAGACTCAGTAGTATACAGGTAGTACATACATAATACATACAGACTCAGTAGTATACAGGTAGTACATACATAATACATACAGACTCAGTAGTATACAGGTAGTACATACATAATACATACAGACTCAGTAGTATACAGGTAGTACATACATAATACATACAGACTCAGTAGTATACAGGTAGTACATACATAATACATACAGACTCAGTAGTATACAGGTAGTACATACATAATACATACAGACTCAGTAGTATACAGGTAGTACATACATAATACATACAGACTCAGTAGTATACAGGTAGTACATACATAATACATACAGACTCAGTAGTATACAGGTAGTACATACATAATACATACAGACTCAGTAGTATACAGGTAGTACATACATAATACATACAGACTCAGTAGTATACAGGTAGTACATACATAATACATACAGACTCAGTAGTATACAGGTAGTACATACATAATACATACAGACTCAGTAGTATACAGGTAGTACATACATAATACATACAGACTCAGTAGTATACAGGTAGTACATACATAATACATACAGACTCAGTAGTATACAGGTAGTACATACATAATACATACAGACTCAGTAGTATACAGGTAGTACATACATAATACAGACTAAGTAGTATACAGGTACATAATACAAACAGATTCAGTTGTTTCAAATTTTACTACTTATAGTACTAGTCTGTGTATATGCTCTGCCATTCTGCTACAACTAGCCCTGCACCACTGGGTCTCGGACTCGAGGACTATGTGTGGCAGATGCCAGGCACTGGCCGCAGGTCGGTGGTTTTTCTCCAGGAACTCAGGCTTTCTTCCATCACCAAAACCTGGCATGTCCTTTAAGTGACCATAGCTGTTAATAGGACGTAAAACACAAACAAACAAACGCTCTCTATCGATAGGTGAAACATCCCTGGTTGAGTTACATAAAAAAACATACCATTTCGTGACATCGTCGTACAGGTAAACAATACAAATCACTTACATGGTACTCAGTCATAGCTTACAACACATTTAATACATTGTTAAGTACATTGTAAAGTAAAAGTTTGATATAATACATGTATTTATGTCTTTACTTGATTGGTATGCTTATTCATATGATTTTATTTATCTATATTGACTGCAAATTTAATGGATGCTTATTTTCCATTTCAGAAAACTTACAGAAATATGTCACTGTAATGATTTGTGTAGCAGTGAAAGGATCACCAAAAATAGGGGTCATATACAAACCATTCCTTCAACAAATAGGTAAATCTTACTAGGGCTGTTATAATGCCGGGGTATTGATGGTTCTTGTCTGGACCTGGGTGTGGAAAATTGCACTACGAATGGGTACTTCTGGTCCCGTATTCATGAAACTGTTCTCATAGATGATGCTCAACTATGGATTTTGTGGTCAAGCCTAATTTCTTGTTCCAGTTACATGTTTTTATTTAAAATCTTATTTTGTCAATGATCTGAAAAAAGAAATTAACACATGAAGCTGTGTACTGTTTTCAATGTTAACATTTTTTTTTTTCATTGTTTGACGTTATTTAAGTGAGTTACAAGAAAGTTGGTTTGAGCACAGAGTTCATGCTTGAACGGTTTCCTGAATACAGGCCCTGATTTACCAACTCAGATTAAATTCTATGCAAATTGTATAAAGTCAGTTGTTTGAAAAATATATACATGCAGCCTCTTGGTGGACAGATGCATTCAAATATGCGAGTTTTGTTTGGAAGACCTTGATATTATATATATAAGTTAAAACAAAGCATCCGTTTATTAGATACAAAATATACATTATATTTTCTTAAACAATGGAATGTGATCGGTAAATTATAACTTCAGTATCAAATGATCAATACAGACTCTCGGATCTGTGTCATTGAGGGAGATAACAAGAATTAAGATGAGAAGTTTATTTTTTACACAAATTCTGTCGGGTTGGTTTTGTGCTTTGTGTAACCAGCTGGTAAAGGTGAGATTTAGATTTCTGGGATTTATTCCTTGGTACCAAGGTATGGGTTAGGTTTTTTTGGGGGGGCATCCAGCCCAATGTTCAGTTTTGATTTCTGGATAGCAGGGCTTAGAACTTTGTATACTATACCTATTCAGCCATAGTTACAAGTATTTTGTTGATAAGTAAAAGTTTGGTATCTGTCTGTTATAGATTTAACTATGGAAGTACTATGATAATCTTTTGCAAAATAGTGAAACCCCTCCAAATATCTATATTTTAAATGTTTTTGTCAAAGTTAACATTTACCTGAGAACTTTTTTTTTTTTTTTTTGTAATATGATTTTGATAATTCTGTTTTTGATTTCCTTTTTGGTATTGCTTTCAGCATGGGCCTGGGTCGGCTACGGTCACTCAGAAAACCTTAAAAATGTTCAGAAGAGTCCATCAGATGGAAAAGTAAAGCTTCCGAAGAAAATTATTGTGTCACGGTCACACAGCGGACCGGTGGAGAAGATTGCTAAACAAGCTTATGGCAATGATACCCAGATTATTCCCGCTGGGGGTGCAGGTAATTTCTTGTCTTAAATTATAATTAGATACTTTGTCTCAAATAGTAACGATGTGAAGGTTAGACTTGGGGGGGGGGATTGTGCCTTTGGCAGTAGTTTCAATGTAAACCTGCTGGGGCTGCAATCAATATCAATTTACTCTACAACAGAACAGTAAAAAGATGAAAATTATAATTGCTGGTAAGATTTATGATGAAACAATATTAAATCATAAAATGAAATTGACAAATTAAACCAGGGAAGTCATCTATACCATTGATTACAATTCATACATGCTGGAGGTAGATGCAAGATTTATACTTACCTTTCATCAAGAGGGCCTTAGAGACTTAACAGCTAAAGGTTGGATAGTAGTAATGCACCTTTTCTAAAAAAAAAACCAGTATGAGTGGGAGAAATTAAAGCCTTTGGCTTTCAGTTCTATTTTTAATATAGAAATGAATAAAAATGTACAATGGGGCTATGCTGAAATAGACTCTTATATCAATTTTATTTTTCATAGTTACATGGCATTAATAAAAAGCTTATGAACGGTTCCTTTCTCGCTCTGTCCAAATGGAGGTTAAAGGGAGGTTACTGTATATACAGAAAGCCGCAGTGCAGTGGGACAGGGCTCATTTAGTTAATGATTATCTGTCTCGGTCTTAATTGTTTTGTATTTTATGTCTCATGTCATCTTCATTTCAAAATTGCATTCTATCAAAATCTGCTATAAATATAATGAATTTAATCAAGAAATATTGGGTGGCATTTTTATTATTAACAATACTTTCCTCTAATCAGAAGATGTTCAAGCTAAGGTTGAATTCTTGTTTTAGGTTACAAGACATTGGAAGTGATCAGTGGTAATGCTGATGCATATGTGCATACAACACTTATAAAGAAATGGGACATTTGTGCCGGGAATGCCGTCCTGTCGGCTCTAAACGGCAAAATGACGACACTCGAGGGAGATACTATTGACTACAAAGCCGGAGGAGATGTAAAAAATCATGACGGACTTTTAGTTACCTCTGCCGTTAATGATCATTACGAATTCCTAAGTAAATTGTCTAAGGTTGCAGAAGAAGCTAAAAAGTCTGCCACTTCCAAACATTGACCAAATGGGTTTGTTTTTGTTTATATCAGTATTGGGCATATATGGTGATGTAACGTGGGTAAATGTTGATAGGTGTTATTTTACATTCATTGTAAACAGGATCTCTTCATGTGTAAATAGTGATGAAAATGTCATGTCATATTTTTAGAGAAAGTGTACATAATCATGTTATGTAATTATCTGTTACAGTGCAACAAAGTTACTACATCGTATGAACATGTTTATTGCATATTTCTGATTGATTCATAGTCGTGTCCCTTGGAATGGAACTCTTTTTGAACCTAGAATTACACCCGATAATAAAATTTGGCCTAAAATCTATTTTATTATATATTCTTGGAAACAGAATTGATATAGATAGTGTATCCAGTTCATTGTTTGTATGTCTACTACAATGTACCAGTAATACTGGGGTAGTGTATTCTTCATTTCTTTCTAAAACAAACATACTCATTTGACATATACACATGGTGCTTGTTTAGAAACTGGTTCTTACTGTGAGTATAATATACTTTTTCTGTTCATTTTTGTTAAAAATCAATTCATTTTTTTACAGTCATTTGATACAATAGAAATAAGAGGTTATAATTAAAAAAAAAAAAAAATGGGTTTTTTTCACAGTTAGGTAGCATAGTACAGTAGCCTGATCCTTAAAATAAAGGGCATGTCTCAGATGAACATGGATAGTGGATTCCTCATGTACCACACACCTACATGATATATATATATATATATAAACTAAATTTTGAATACATTTTTTTAGAAGAATGATTAATTTTTCATAAAGTGTTTTCCCCAGCTTTGGGACTTGTGAAAAACATGGTTACCACATCAAAAAACACCAAAAAATGCAAAAAAACATGATTTTTAACCAACAATTTGACCCCCGCAAGTAGTATTTTTTTCTTAAATCCTGTCTTGAATTAAATATCACCTACTCGGTAACAGAAATATAGGTCGTTCCACTGGATTTTTCACAATATTTACACATGTGCTGAGTACAAAAATAGACTACATAAAAAGCTAGCTTTTGTTGTGTAGACACAGTTTTGTAAATTGCCAAAAAGGTAGTCTCAAACCAAATTCAAAGTTGTTGGTTTTTTAATATGAAGCCCACATAGTCCACTTCATCATGTATATGCCAATTTTAGTGCTGATTGGTTTTTTTTGATACATGTAATATTACAGGGGTTATTCATTGTACAAAAATATCACCCATGGCCACCATGCACTACTGTACACTGCTACCTTAACATTACACCCTGATCAGTGTGGTTTGTTTTTTTGTTTTTGTTTTTGTAAAAAATTGTTTGTTGTTTTTCACAAAAGAAATATTTACTTGATTTCACCATAAAATCATATTAAAACAAATATCAGAAAATCACTGCAAACAAAAATTAGAAAGATTGTTTTGCTTTTTGGTGGCATTCATGGTGCCTATTGCATGTTTTGCCATATAAAAACAGATTGGTATAGAATGGTTCAAGAATTCTTTATCACAGATTTGTGCATAAGAACTCTACAGCTAAATATATCTGTAAAGAAAATATCTTCCAAAAGAGGATATGGATATTTTTGCTATGTTCATTCACAAATTTCTTTTTCTTTTTTGTTACCGATGTTAAACAGCATCTCGGAATTGGTAATGAATTTATCCCATCTTTCTGCCAAATGTGCAGCCACTTTTAAAAGATTTACACTGCGTTTTCTGTCCTAAATTTTACATGATAATATGCCAAAGTGAAGATAGTTATTTTACGTACACATGTATACAAGACAATGAACACAACAGCCATGGATTTTGTGTTATTTTCCAGCAAATCTTTGTTGCAGTCTCCTGGAACATTTCCAGTGATTTCTTTTACTATCTTATCATTAATCTATGTATAGTTTATTTCGTTTACAATCACTATGCTATTCGTTCACCCAAATAATGTCCAACTTAGACAATACATATATATTCAATGTCCAGAAATGTGATATACAAGTATTTGGTAGGTACATTATTTTGAAGCCCGGATTTTTAAATTGTTTTACTTTCTGTCCTGAAAGACATTCCTACTTAATATTGATGTTGATTACAGTACTACTGGTGTAAGTGTTCCTTCTCTAGCATTTCCTGTTCATACTCGTCATTTTATAGAGAATACACCACAAAACGTGTCTTCTGGACTAATTGGTGTACAACACTACCTGTTGATCTAGTATAAACAATAATGTGTTTGTTTTAATTCGCTAATGTGGTATCAATGGTTAGCTAATTAGCTTGTGTTAATTCACAGTAGTATTTCGTAACTAGTTAACTCTTCAACACATTTTAAGAAATAATGTTAAGAAGTGTTCAAGGACTATCGATGGTGTGTAATAATATCCGTAACCTGGGAACTGTGTCGTATGTTTTTGTCATTTTTAGATATATTTATGTGTATGAAATGGTTAATGGGGTGCATCCTTGATATCCAGGGGTTACGCTCACGTTTGCTCTCTGCACCTCTGGAATATGTCATGGCAAAATTTAACGCTCGGTGTGCGCCACCTTGTTGATGAGACAAGAAGACTAGTTCGATCCTTTGATATACATCAAAAGAATCTCGCGGTCACGTAACAGTAAAAATTGACAGGCTTTGAAGTCGGGCGTCTCTCCTTTGTAATCTTCAAAGGACGGGTATCTGCCTGGCGATTGGTCAGGTTTTTTTTTACCCGAGACCAATCAAACAGCTTTCTTCGTGCCTTCAATTTTGCCATGACATATTCCAGGGGTGTAGAGAGCGAAAGTAAGCGTAACCCCTGAATATCGAGAATGAATGGGTTGATACATATATTATAGTGCACATTTAATGATTATTTGTTAAATAGCAGTCATAAGGGAGGCCAAACGCCATAGACTACTATGTATTCAGAAGGAAGTCTTGATGCCAAAAATTTGATGATGTATTTTGCAGATTTATTTTTTGCAATTTGATACGAAGACTGCAGTTGCTGTGATAGTCTTCTTCCTAAATGGATAATTTTATAATTATTCAAAATGTTCTGGGTCAGATTTTAAAACTAAACACTGTATGTCTGTTAAATGTTTGAAGGAAGCATTTTTTATTCATGATTACACCATGGCCAGAATACATTGTATAAAGATGTATATTTTTCATTCCAAGAAAGTAAATCATTCGCACTGTAGGTAAAGGACGAACAAGAAACTCTATGGCACAGCACAGATTGTTAAGCTATACAAATTGCAGCAACAGAATACATGTCTCACAGCAATTTTTTCTTATCCAAACATGGGTGTGGTGGTTTTTTTTACACATAATAGATTTTTAAACAGAAATTTCCTTTTTTTTGTAACGTTTAATATGTAAGTTTAACAATCATTTTTGTTTTGGACGTAGAAACAGATCAATATTGAAATTGATTATGGACAGACAATATGTACTGTGAACAACTTTGAGTTCTATATTCTTACATA